GAGAGAGAGAGAGAGAGAGAGAGAGAGAGAGAGAAAGAGAGAGAGAGAGACAGAGAGAGAGAGAGATAGACAGAGAGAGAGATAGACAGAGAGACAGAGAAAGAGAAGGAGAGAGAGAGAGAGAGAAAGAGAGAGAGAGAGAGAGATGAACACAGCTATATACAAAGACACGTAGACAGGAAGACTTACAGACGGGCAGACACACGGACAGACAGACTAACCAATAGACAGACTGATGGGTCAATAGCGTGGGTGAGGGATTGGTGTTGTATAAGTGTATATTTGATGGATTAAAGGAAAAGGGGATAGAATAGTATATTAGTGACTAAATTAGACAGAGTGTTGACACTGATGCGAATGAAATTAATGCTAGTAAAACCATTATTTAAAAAACCACCAAAGAGATTCTGCACCTGTCTAGCAAATTCTGAATGGTATTCGTACGCACTAGGCACAAGGCACACATTGATTCGAGAGGTTTGGTAGGCCTAGAGGAAAGGTATTTAATTTCTCTCCTAGATCTAATTCACATTACAGCGTACGCACTTTTGATCCCCCCGAGAAAGTGTGAAAATATTCTTGGGATTAGCGCGTGACAACACAAAAAGTCATGCGTCACAAGTTTTTCGTTTGTTCTGTTGGTAGAAAAAAAGAGCTCGTATTTGCTCAGATGAAAAAATGTACTGCGCCTTAGATTCACGTTTGTCTATTTTTCGCTGAGGTCGACTTATCCTGTGATAATGATGGTTCAACGGCCGATGACACTGTTCTATAGGCTACGCTTTGTATGAATATGAAATGAAAAGAAAAGTTGGATAAATAAATACTGTTTTATTTAGATGGGTCGTGCTGACTTGTGATTTTCGGCATCCCGGGTTTGATAACGGCTGTATATTAAATTATTGTCAAGTAGTCGATCAGGATTATAGTGAATTAAAAAATTGTTAAAGAGGAGGACCCCCCTTCCCCTCTCCCTCCTTTCTCCCAACCTTCATCCCTTACTCCATGATAGACAATCACTTAAATAGACAGACAGACATTATGACATATATTTTGGGGTAGTTAAGAGAACAGCTACGCAATAATAAGTGTAGATCTATTGGAAGATTGAATGTTGGACAGACAGACCGACAGACAGACAGACAAACAGACAGACAGACAGACACACAAACAGACTGGCTGACTGACTGATACTTACATCATAGAGGAGACAGAGATCGATAAATACACACAACAGCGAGATAGATGCAAGTAAGGATGGTTGGTATGTGGTTGAATGAACAGTGGGTAGATACATTATATTATGGGAATGCATTATAGGTGACTGAAAGAAAATAAGAAGAGAAAGAATAGGTAGAGAGACACACAAACAACGATAGATAGATTATAATAGATACACAAATAGACAGATAAGCAGATAGACAGACAAACAGACAGACAGACAGACAGACAGACAGACAGACAGACAGACAGACAGACAGACAGAGAATACGCATAAAGGCTGACAGACAGACAGGCAGACGGACAGACAGACACACGGATAATTTGACCAACTTACTGACAGGCAAACATGCACTAGATACAAAGAAAGAACAAATATTATCCAAAGGTGCAACGCACACCACAGACCAGCAGCGGCAGGGCACTATTTCATGTATTCAGCAAATAAAAATCGAGCGCTCTTCATACGTTGTATGTGCTCTTGACTTTTCCTATTCCTCTCGCGCGCATGTAAAAATAGCTCTAAGGTTTTATAGAATCTAATTTTGCAACTGTGTAACCAGACAAAAAAGCCTTTCCCAGCAACGATGATAATCATTTCAGTGAAGAAGATGCTGTGTAACAAAGGGTGTTTCGTTTGACTGTGTGGTGGACAGATCATTTTGTGGGAGTGAAATTAATTAAATCGCGTGTTTCGGTGTTGTATTATAATTCTAACTAGCATAACTGACAATACCGCCTCCTTCTCCTCGGGGGCGGAATAGATTATAATTCTTTTCATGATCTGAAGGAATAACGAAGTGAAAAATGGATGTGAGACAGATCAGAGAGGTAAGGTTGTTACTTGTGCTGAAGGATGTGACTGTGACTATTTATTTAGATCTATTTACGAGAAACGTGTTATAATGCAATGTTTATTTTCATTATGAGAACCACACAGTCGTTTGTCGTAAAAGATTTTAGATTTTTATCTTTTTCTCTCCAAGACATGTGCATTGGTGGTGTTTTAAAAGTGAATTATATTTTCCAGACAGTTCGTCTTTTAGACCGGAACATTACCCAATAATATGAATAGATATACATACCTACATTACATAAACACAATCACACACACACACTCACCCACACATACACACACACAAACACACACACACACACATTAAATTATCTGTAGCTTCTGTGTCAAGTCTCGGAATCGTAGACAACCCCAACCTCT